GGGGGGGGGGCAGGTGGGAGGGCCTGGCCAATCATAAGGCGGGGCAAGGGGAGATAAGAGGCGGGGTTTCTGGGGAGGGCGGGGCTTGCTTGCAGGTGGACCGGACAATAGGCGGACAATCATGGCAGGGCAGGGGGTTGGCTATGAGAGGTAAGCAACCCAGGGACAGGGCTTGGTCAGGGGACCTCACTACTAAAAGTTGGGTTGGTGGCGGGGAAGGTATAGCTTAAAAGGGGCGGAGCCTGAATATTTGAGTAGGAGGACCTGACCTATCAGAAGGCAGGGTTGAGATAGGTGAGAGACTTGGCCTACGGAGGGTTAAGGACACAAGTGCAAGTGCTCTGCAGGGCAGGGGGACGGAAAAATTAAGGAATCGAACCTCAGGGAAGACGGAGGGTTCGAAAATGAGAGAACTATGAGGCTGGCGGCGACCAGTCTGAAGGATGGGCTGGAGGCTGTGAGAGTGGGCCCTGGAGAAAGCGAGCTGAGAGAGCTGGAGGCAGAGGGATGGGGCCTAGGTATGGGATAAGAGGAACTGATCCCAAAGGAACCCCGGCTTAGGGCTGTGAGAGGGGGGTCCAGCGGGCTTGGCCTACAGAGATGGTCTTTAACCATTATAGTCCGGGCTGGAGCAGGGGAGGGCCAGGAAAGTCGGGGCACAAGGAGGCGGGGCCAGGGTGAGACCCCCATCTAGAAACTTAATGCTGGGGCGGCCCTTTGGAAGGGAAGACGTGATGTCCCACTCAACCATCCTTTAAGGAGGCGGGGCCAGTGAAGGGACAGGGATTATCTCTCCAGCCACGCCAGGTAAGGGCAGGTCTTCCAGCCTCAATCCCAGGGGTACTGGGAGGAGTTTAGGACTTCAGGGTCGCTGGGGGCTTTGAGGCAGAGGCTATTGACCAGTCTGTAGAGAAGCAGTTGGATATTTAAACATTGAATATGGTTGTCCCAGTGTGTCTCAGCACTGGCCTGGTTCTCCCTGAACCCCTTCCTCCCTGCAGTTCCCTGCTCGGCTGAATGGCTCCAACCTGGTGCCCGGACCCCTGCCCCGCATGCCCTTTGATGACCCGTTCTTTGTGGTGGAGACGCTGTGCATCTGTTGGTTCTCCTTTGAGCTGCTGGTGCGCCTGGTGGCCTGCCCGAGCAAGGCAGCCTTCTTCAAGAACGTGATGAACCTCATCGATTTTGTGGCTATTGTACCCTACTTTGTGGCACTGGGCACCGAGCTGGCCCGGCAGCGGGGAGTGGGCCAGCCGGCCATGTCGCTGGCCATCCTGCGAGTCATCCGACTGGTGCGGGTCTTCCGCATCTTCAAGCTTTCCCGGCACTCAAAGGGCCTGCAGATCTTGGGGCAGACGCTGCGGGCCTCCATGCGTGAGCTGGGCCTCCTCATCTTCTTCCTCTTCATCGGTGTGGTCCTCTTCTCCAGCGCAGTCTACTTTGCCGAGGCTGACCGGGCGGACACCCATTTCACCAGCATCCCCGAGTCCTTCTGGTGGGCAGTGGTCACCATGACCACAGTTGGCTATGGAGACATGGTGCCCGTCACTGTGGGCGGCAAGATCGTGGGCTCTCTGTGCGCCATTGCTGGCGTGCTGACCATTTCCCTGCCTGTGCCAGTCATTGTCTCCAACTTTAGCTACTTTTACCACCGGGAGACAGAGGGCGAAGAGGAAGGGATGTTCAGCCATGTGGACACACAGCCCTGTGGCATACTGGAGGGCAAGGCCAATGGGGGGTTGATGGATGGAGAGGTGCCTGAGCTGCCACCTCCACTCTGGTCCCCCCCTGGGAAACACCTGGTCACTGAAGTGTGAGGGACAATTGAGGTCTGCAGGACCTCATACCTCCTTGGAGGGAGGGAGGGAAGGGAAGAGGGAAAGGCCAGGGGGAGGGGTTGGGTTTAGGAAGAACTAGGTTACGTGGTATTGAGTGGGGGAACACAGATTCTTCTTGGGTCTTGAGTTGTGTGGTAATCGATTTGACGGCAGTGGGTTTGGTTTTGGGTTTGGTAAGGTCCTCCTTAGGTGGCAACAAATGGCAGTCGGTTGTGTCGAGTTCAATTGTGGCTTCTCTGTGGAGGTGACTCCATTGGTTTGTATTGCATTGGGTTATGCAAGGCTTGTGGGGCTGTTTGGTGTAACATTGAGATAGTTTTGGTCATCTAGTTGTATGAGTTTCCTAGGTCCATGTTGGGTTGGGTTGAGTTGTAAGTCTGGGTGAATCTTGTCAAACTGCATTGTGCCGGTTCTGTGTTTTGAGTCCCCTACAACTAGGCTACTAACCAAAAGGTCAGCAGTTTGAATTCTCCAGCTGCTCCTTGGAAACCCTATGGGGCAGGTCTACTCTGTCCTATAGGGTCACTATGAGTTGGAATCAACTCAACGGCAATGGGTCTGGTCTCTGGTCAGGGCCATGTTGGTTTAAGTTAGGTGGTCACCCATGGCATTGTCGGGACTGATTGTGTGGTTATGCGTGGCATTGTTGAGTTGGGTTAACACACGTTGGAAATTGTGCAGCTTTATGATTCTTCTAGGGCCACGTTATTTTAAGTTCTGTGAAGTCATGTACAAATAGGAAGGGTCAAGTGATATGATGTCAGCTTTCTAGGTCACATTGGATGAAGGTGGGTTGGAAGGTATGCCTGTATGAGTCTTTTAGGGTTTGGTTAGATTGAGTTGCGTAGAGTTATGTGTATGGAAGTCTTTCAGGGCCGCATTGAGTTGAGCTGTAATGAGTTTATAATCATGTGAGTCTTGTAGGGCCAGTTCAATAGGGTCATATGATTGAGTTGAATTACATTGAGTTGTGTCATTGTATGAGTCCTGTTGGAATGTTAGGTTGAGTTGTAATGTATGTATGTATGTATGTACGAGTTCTGTAGGGCCATGTTGTTTAGGATTTAGCTGTAGTACCAAAACCCAGGGATAACAACATAGGGGAGGAATTATGGATCGGGGAGTGAGCATGGTGTTTTGGGCCCTGGGAAGATGTGCCAAGTGGCTTGACCAATGTAGCTCTGTAAGGGAGCAGGGTTGGATTCTGTATCTGTGGATTCACCCAACCTGCTTTGTTTTGCCATCCAAACCCCTTCTCTATCTGTCCTTCTCTGCATTTTTGCTCTCAGACATGGAGATTTGAGCCACAGGGGAAGAGGAAGAGGAGAGAAAACTTTGTGCTCTGTCTAGACATGATGGGGACACAGAAACCCAAAGAGGAGGCGTGGGGACCCAGAGAGGTATTGAGACACAGAGAGAGGAAGGGATAGAAATTCAAAGAGAAGGGGACAGACACCCAAAGAGAGAGGGACAGAGACCTAGAGTGAGAGGAGGGAGAGAGACCCTGAGAAAGGGAAACAGAGACCCAGAGAGAGGGGGACAGAGACCCAGACCCAGAGAGAGGAAGACAGAGACCCAGAGAGAGGGGGTGGGGTCAGAGACCCAGAGAGGTGGGGGGGACAGAGACCCAGAGAGAGAGGGGGACAGAGACCCAGGGAGAGAGGACGACAGAGACCCAGAGAGAGGGGGAGACAGAGACCGAGAGAGAGAAGGACAGAGACCCAGAAAGAAGGGGATAGAAATCCAAAGAGAGAGGAGGACAGAGACCAAGCGTGGAGGATAGAGACCCAGAGGGGGGTATGAGACCCAGAATGTGATGTCATGCACCTGGAAAGTGACAGACACCCAGAGTTTGAGACAGATCATAGACACCCAGAGAAAGAGAACCAAAAGAGAAAAAGGCAGGAAAAATCAACACTCCTGAACCCAAGAGAGAGACACAGAGTCTCAATTCTACAGAATTATAAAGAGATCCTACACCAGGGTCCGTCACCCAACCTCCCTACAGCTCAGGAAAGCCGTCAGCCACACTAGGTATCTCATCTGCTTTCCAGGGGAGAGACCCAAGTCTCAGAGAAAGGGAGAGGCTCTCCAAGGTTGCAGAGCAAGTCGCCGGGGCCAGGAATGTGGCAGGCTGCCTGACTCCACGTGCCCCCATCCGCCTAGGACACCCACAGCCTCTCAAGTTCAGTAGCCTCATTTCTGGCAGAAAAGGAAATTGAGGCACAGGAGGAGGGGTGCTACCTAAGGTTGCAAAGCCAAATTTTTTTAGAGCAAAAAGGGCATTTAGAGGACAATGATGATAATGATGGTGATGCTGATGATTATACTCAGTAACACATATAGGGCTTCCTACGTACCAGGCATCGATCGAAGGACTTGTATTAATTTATTAAACTCATCCGGTGGTTTACAGAGTGTTGTTGTAGTTGTTTTTAGATATAACTACCCTTCCCCCCCCCCCTTTTTTTTTTTTGGTCAAATGAAATCTTATTTAGAGGCATCAATGGGAAACATCGGAGGGGAACTGGTTTGGGAGTAACACACCTCCTTTCTAGTTCTTCTTGGCAACTCAAGATGTAGCTAAGAAATTCTGTTTGGAAACGACTCATTTAATCCAACCAGTTTTCTTATACACAGAGAGAGAATAACGTACAGATAGGGGGGAGAGTTTGGTAAAGGTTGTAAATAATATAACCTTTAGGTAATTACCTCTTGCTGATGGAGAGGAAGTCACATCTGGAGACAGAAATGGAGACAGACCCCCAAACAGTGACAGAGACAAACAGAGGCTTAGAGTGAAGACCTCAGCATAGAGACCTAAAGAGGTGGAGTCGGATGCAGAGAGGGACTGAGACCTGGAGAAAGGACAGCGATTCAAGGGGAGGAGGTAGAGCAAGACAGAGAGAGACAGAGACCCAGAGAGAGGGGGACAGAGACTCAGAGAGAGGGCCAGAGACCCAGAGAGAGGAACAGAGACTCAGAGAGAGGGACAGAGACCCAGAGAGAGGAACAGAGACCAGAGAGAGGCGAGGACAGAGACCCCGAGAGAGAGGGAGACAGAGACTCAGAGAGAGGGATAGAGACCCAGAGAGAGAGGAGGTGGGATAGAGACCCAGAAAGAGAGGAGGAGCGATAGAGACCTGGGGGGGGGGGACAGAGACCCCGAGACAGAGGAGGAGGGACAGAGATACAGAGAGGGGTCGACAGAGACCCAGAGAGGGACAAAGACCAGAGAGGCGAGGACAGAGACCCCGAGAGAGAGAGAGACCCAGAGAGGGGGCCAGAGACCCAGAGAGAGAGAGAGAGGGAGACAGAGACCTGGGGGCCGGGGGGCAGAGACCCAGAGAGGGGGAGAAAGACCAGAGAGAACGGGACAGAGACCCAGAGAAAGGGACAGAGACCCAGAGATGAGGACAGAGAACCAGAGAAACAGGGGAACAGACACCTAGGAAGCAGGCAGAGCCTTGAGGAGACCCTCCACACTATTTCTGTTACTCTTTGAAAACCCGCTCCTGCTACCTCATCAGAAACCTAAGTTTATGCAGAGCCCCTCTGGTAGGGGGTGGAATGAGGGAAAGTGTGTCAAGGTCAGGGAGGAGACCCGAGTGGACACCCAAAGCCTGGGAAGGTGCCCCTCCCCCACCCGCAATAAACAACTGTAGCCACCTTCTATGCAGCCTTGGCTGGGATGGGGAGGTGGAGAGGGGAACACCCTAACCCGGGGACACCCTTCCTGCCACCTTGCCATGCTATATTTAGGCTGAGGGAGGGGTACGGGATGACCCCCCAAGGAGGGTGTCAGCTTTCCTCCTGAAAATAGCTTGGGGAGGGAAGGGAGTCCTGGGGTAGAGGTGTGATAGGGTGACAGGCCCTGTGGTTTAACTGTCCTGGGGGCTCTCCAACTCAGTTTTTCTTGGAGTTTCTTGAGGTCTCTGTCCCCCCTCCCTGAAGCTCTGTCTCCCTCTCTCTGGGTCTCTGTCCCCCTCTCTAGGTCTCTGTCACTTTTCTCTCTATTTCTGTGCCTTTCCCCCTTTTCTCCCTTTCTCCCTTCATCGGTCACTATCCACTCTGTTTCTCTAAGCAGGTCATTCTATTATAAACATATCTTTATGTGAGTTCTATAGTACCTGCAATTTCTCTTGGCTGAGCTCAGGGCACGACGACCCTCTCCCCAGTCCCCACCCAGGAAATTCCAGGCGAGAGGACCATGTGGGAGAGCCCCCCACATTCACTGCCCCCCAGGGCCTCGGATCTTATCACTGCCCAAGTCCAGCTGGTTAATGTCTGGCATGAAGCTCCTGGGAAAGTGGGGATAAGAGCAGAGGGTGGGAATCTGCCCCGGGATTGACACTAAATTGGCAAAAGAAGGCAAAGGAATCTCAAAGCCCAGACTTGGATATGATGGAGGAGGGGTGCTGTGGTCGGACTCCCGAGCGTGAGGGAGGAGGGAGCTGGGGGCTCGGACCCCTCAGTCTGAGGGAAGAGGGGGCTGGGTGCTTAGACCCCTGTGTCAGAGGAAGGAGGCGGCTGGGGACTCCAACTCCCGGATCTGAGGGAGGAGGGGGCTGGGAGCCTGAACTTATGAATCTGAGGGTGCTGGGGCCCGGACTCCCGGGTCTGTGGGCAGAGGGAACTGGGGGGCCCGGATTCCCGGCTCTGAGGGAGGAGGCAGCTGGGGGCCCGAACTCCCGGGTCTAAGGTAGGAGGGGGCTGGGGGCCAAGATTCCTGGGTCAGAGGCAGGAGGGGGCAAGCGGCCCGTACTCCCTCTGGGACGGAGACTGGCCGCGTGCGAGCTAGGCGCCCGGCTCCCGCGGTCCCGCGCGGGTGGAAGGCGGTCCCGGCCCTGCCCC